GAAAACTTTCTATGACTTCCTGAACCCAAGAAATGAAAAAAATATTAGGCTAGAAGATTGCTCCTCGAACGAAATATTGAAAATCATAAGCGAGTTCGAAAATGGTAAAGCCAGTGACATTCCCATAAGTGTAGTAAAAAAGTCATCTCATGTAATTGCACCTGTATTATCGAATTACTTCAATATCCTTATGACCAAAGGTATATTTCCAGATGTCCTGAAGACTGGTAAAATAACTCCTGTATATAAGAAAGGTAACCCAGAAGAAATCGAGAACTACCGTCCTATCTCCACACTGTCCGTCTTCGGTAAGATCTTTGAAAAGCTCATATATTCTAGAATATACGGATTTGTTAGCTCCCAGGGAGTTATATCGAAGACACAGTTTGGATTTAGGAAATCTCACTCTACATCTCATGCAGTCAATTACTCTGTAAATTTGATTACGAAATCTCTTAAACTTAAGAATCATGTTTTAGGAATATTCATTGACCTAAGCAAAGCTTTTGACACTATCGACCATTCAACACTTCTTATAAAATTAGAGGGATGTGGAGTGAGAGGAGTTGCAAATAACCTCATTAAAAGCTACTTGACAAACAGGCAACAATACACCGAAGTTGTAGGAGAAAAATCAGATACCCTATCTATCCAATTTGGTGTCCCACAGGGTTCAATTCTTGGACCTCTCCTATTTCTTCTTTATATGAACGACATCACAAACAGTTCTAAACTAGGATCATTTGTTACCTTTGCTGATGATACCAATATATTTGTTGTCGGCAAAACAAAACGTGAGGCATATGAACGAGGAAATGAGCTTTTGTCATCATTGAAGTCTTATATGAGAGCGAATAAGTTACATATAAACATGTCCAAGTGCTGCTACATACACTTCAAACCCACCATGGCAGGTTCTAAGTCAGAGACTTTATCACACCCTGAAGTTGCATTAACTATAGACAACTTTCCAATCAAAAAGGTTTCATCCGCAAAATTTCTGGGTGTTATAATTGACGAGAACCTATCATGGGAAGATCACATCAAAGCACTTAAGCGAACTCTAAATCATTCCACATCCACTTTATGTAGACTTCGCTGCTCCCTTCCAGAATTTCTACACCAACAATTATATTATACCCTGTTCGAATCACATCTTTCCTACTGTATATCTGTATGGGGTGGGGCAGCGAAACAACGTATAAGGTCATTATTTACTGCTCAGAAGTACTGTCTCAGAGTACTATTTGGTGACAGGCTGGCGTACCTTGATAAGTTCAAGACTTGTGCACGTACTAGGCCCATAGGACACCAGAAACTTGACCAAAAATTTTTCATAAAAGAGCACACCAAACCGATATTTAAGCATAATAATATTCTATCTATACAAAATCTCTATACATACCACAGTTACCTCGAGCTCTACAAGATAATGAAATTCTGTGCTCCAATATCCCTACATGAGGGTTACACATGTTCCTCAAGGAAACCCTGTCTTCTAATCTGTCAGGCAGACCCACCTGACAATCACAACACTAGATCAACCAACATTTTTAACATTTTAACCCCAAAGTTCAGAATGACTGACTTTACTACTAGTGTAATGTGCTTGCGAGGTAAGTTAAAACGTGCGCTATTAGCTAATCAACATAATCATGCCCTGCTTGATTGGACCGTCAAAGATTTTGACTGCACAAATGTTATTGTCCAAACATAACTGGCTGGTCACACACATCTCAATTAAAATTACGCTAGGCCACTGTTTTCCAAGTCTTGTCCTGTGAGTAAAGTATGTGTGAGAAATTTTTAATAAAATCATTGTATATTTATTTTTGAATTTTAAAAATCTAATTTGAGAATGAAGGTTAAAGAAATTTTTAATTAGCACTGTATAGTTTAAGATACTTATAGCTTATTATAACAATTGATACAAAGGCCATAATCTTTCACCAGCTCTCCAATATCCACCTTGAAGCTGCATTTTATATCCTAAATATAAACTAAATCATGTTTTAGTGTAGACTTTTTGTCACAACAAGACTGCAACCTATAGTAACAATTATAAACAGAACCTCTAATGTCTGCTAACAATTTTTCTTCTAGTCCTAATCTGAGCCTTGTCTCTAAAAACTTAACTGAACTAGCGTTTCGGTGTGTGCAAAAGCTTCCAGGCACGCGCATTCCTTGCCCCGTTAGTTACCTGTCCTTCATAAACCAAACTAGCAGTCAGGACAAAAAGTCATACACCAAATGGGCATTATATTTTATGAATTGTTTTACATCTTTTTATTCTGTAAAAATGTGCTAAAATTAAATTTCTTGTTTCATAAATTTCTTGTTTCATTGATGATAAAATGAGACACCTCACGTCAAGTAGACCAAATTGGCTCTTGCTTGTGAAAGGTGTATCAACTACCCATCGAAGCGGTGGGTTGGGAGTCCCCCTGGGATCATTTCGTCCGTAAAATTTTACACAATATAAAAGCTACAATGAATTATCTATACAATTTACACAAACAAATTTAGGAGATCTCAAAGCTCGTCTTCAGAGGGACGAGATTGAAGGATACGTCTTCCAGTCCAAGGTGCTGGGCTTTTTGTCTTCATCTGATTCCCCTGAGTGCTATGAGTGTGCTACGTAGCAAATCAAACCTGAATCGTGTTCTGCTGTGATTTTTGACCTGGCTTTTAGCTTCTTTATTGTGGTCAGCTATCATCTCAGAGATACAATTTACGAACACAGTGTAGAGCGGTCCCATACCTCCAGATTTTGTAAAGACTAGTGGGACAAATGACGGGGGGATGCAACGTCAATTAATGTCAGTATTCCATAAAAACCCCAAACTGACATTGACATTAATTGACATTAATTGACATTAATTGACATTAATTGACATTAATTGACATTAATTGACATTAATTTGTCTTGAAATTTGAGATTATCATTATTCGATAAATATTCAAGATATTCACATCTATGTAAGTTAGACCGGTTCAAAAAAACAAAATGTCCTTGAATAATTATGAGTATGTTCTTATCTGTTGATCCTTAGGTTCAAAGACCACCAAAAAAAGGTCAGCTTCCAACTCTTCCATCTTCGGTCCCCACCGGCCACGCCCCTATTTTATTGGTTTCTTATTAAGGTAAAATATCTAGAATCGGCTTTTTTAGTATGAAGGAGTAATGTTAGCTGTTTAAGATTCGTTATTCAAATATAAATGTCATAACGGCATTTCGTTTAATGTGGGTTTTAAGTTCTGGTGATGTTGAGAACCACGCCCTTGGATGGCCACGCCCATTTAAGAAAATTAAATTCCGGAAAACCGAATTATTTTAGTTTTATTCACATTTCACATTTCCATATGTGATAGTAGTGAATAAATTGATGATATAAACGTTCTAAAGTGATACAAATATGGTAGAACTATTTAATCTCTTGTCGAAAAATATCGTGTCAATCAATGTCAGTATTCCAAAATTTTGCAAAACTGACATTGACATTAATTGACATTAATTGACATTAATTGACATTAATTGACATTAATTGACATTAATTGACGTTGCATCCCCCCCCCAATGACCAGTGGCGTAACGAAGGGCCCCGCTGACCCCGCTGTGCAGGGGGGCGCCATCTTGTCTTAGGGGGGCGCCAAATCGTCGTTTGAATGTGGGACAATTTCGAAAACTTAACTAAAGTACTAGCAAAACTGCGCGTTATGCTCTAGATACACACTTTTTTAGAGATTTTTACCGGCTTATCCTCTAAAATCACCTAATTTGTTCAATTTTAGGGAGGGGCACCAAAAGGGGAGGGGGCGCCAACAGGGGGGCGCCTTTTCGGCAGGGGGGGCACCAACAGGCGACGTTACGCCACTGCAAATGACCCTTTCTCTGACTGAGGTACGCTCTCCTCATAGAGCTAGAGATCTTTCTTCTCTTTCTCATGCGACCTGTCGATTTTGTCTAGTGGCTTAAATGTACTTGAGTCGTATTACAGCTACTTTGGACCTATCTTTAACGAATAATATGGGCTTCCAATTCTACATAGCAGCAAAAGTTTTCTTATCAGACCATGATTGCTAGCTTAAATCTCTAACTGAAACTGCCATCTCACTTCATAAATTGTCCAGAATTAGATCTTAATTACTCAAGAAAAGATTTTATTATCTCAGTAAGACAATACTTTAAACTGTCCTGCAGCAATAAGATTTACTGGATCTGACTACAAAGCCTTAATAATGGAAATTTGTTTGTAGCCATGAATTTAGTTTATCTTATATAAAGTTGCATGACAAATTGTATTTGTCATAACAACAATGAGCTATGATATACCGTTCATCTTAAATTATTGGATCAATTTTATTATATGATTAGATTTTATAAATGAACTTGGCACACAAAAGATTATAATGCGGAGGTTGGCTGGCTCTTTTATAATAAATACGACACTCCGATTTACAGAATGCTTGCTAGAGAATAAAACAAATAAATAATATCAGACTATACATGCAGCATGAGTAACTGGTGAATGAGCCTTCGGTAAAAACGGATCCGGAAAAGTCAATGCGGCACTCGGGTCCTTGGTATTTTCGTCGGTGTATTGTCCATTATCTGCGTTCTGCTTTCATAGTTTCAACAATAGTGAGTTCTAAATAATATACAGCTTTAAACCGACTAATTATGACTGAATGAAATACCTGACAATCCGCACTCCTATAATTCAAAAGCATGAGTAACTCGTAGTGATGTATGATTCTTAAAATTTGTCGCTCACAGGTCCTCGTGATCATGTGATCGCCGCATGAGGTTCTGTAAATGCGCGGCACACCTTCAAGCTTAAATTATTCACCTTACTGAGGCAGCCAACCAACGCGCGGCTTTATTTTTATGATATGATATGTTTTGATTGTTATTAATAAATACCAAAATTTAAATTAGTTTTCCTATTTTTGACTATTCTCTGATCTAGTCAATTTGTCGATAATGTTTTGTTATTTTAGGCTTATGTTTGATGTCGGTACACAAGACATTATTTAAATCCAAGTTCAGTATAATCTACGAATCAATCCTAAAGGTATTGAATTTCACTTGATTTCATAATGTTTTTAATGATAATTCTAATTGTAATACTAATAATGTTACATTCGATCGTCCCTCTCACTCTCTGAATTTGCTTGAATCTGTACTGTTTTGATAACGGATATTTGTGTTGATTAAATCTTAAAAAGCTACAACCAGAGTTGGTACATTTAAAGTATTGCATTTGTAATCTGCAGTCTTAGTCGACTTAGTGATTTTTTACAGGGAGAGGAACAAGATGATGCAGTCTGGGAAGAACTTTTTCTCATAAAAGTGAATGTTGGTGCTTTTGAAGACCTATTCAGCAAACTCTCCTCGAATGAACTTATCCAACTTAAGGTTTCTAAAACAAATTTGACTTCCAGACCTCGACAACTTTAAAAATTTTATTAAAAGACACATATATTATATTGAAAATCAATACCTAATCTGAAATCTGATAATTGAGAGACATACTCATTTGCTAAAAATTCACAAATTATAAACCTTTTCAGAGCTCTATAAACAAGTTATTCAGAAAATGTGTGGATGGTCTAAAGGAGGAACATAGCATCAAATCCTTAAATATATTAATGGTAAAATACATATTATATGGATAATTTGATGTGTATTAAAGCTTGAGTCTGTCTTATTTTACTATTAGACTATGACTGAAATTATTTGATACAACATAAAAATACATGTATAAAACATCTGTAAAATATTCGATTAGAAGCCTATTAGAAAAGTATCACTCACTGATATTTTCAGACCCTGTCATGTCTTGTACGATGTGTTTGGAGACGCGATCTTGGTGAAGGATTTCGAGCTGTTGATGTTCTTGTCGGGTTTGATGAGGCAGAGCAGATCATGTCGAGTTTGATAGAACAGCTCCACAAAATTCTCATCTCCAATCAGCTGCAAGAGCTCAAGTACTATGCTCTGCTATTTCTCAAAATCTTGACAAGTGTGTCTGATAATATCTCTCAAAATACTATGGTAAGATCTTATCTTATCTTATTACATAACACTCAATCGACGCCTAGCTATTTTGACTTCATGATTATTTCATTTGATTGGTTGATTTTGTTTCAATTTTTTATATTTGTTTAAGTGCAAATTATCTGCATCTAATTACATGACATATTATTCAAATGTAACTTGTTTCCAGGTAGAATATCTTATGTTACATTCGTTGTGGTTCAGTTTCTGTAAAGTGATTGTAACACCAAGTGTAAGAAGCAATCTTGGTTCTCATTCTCTCTCCATTCTGGCACTCTTGCTCAACTACAGAAAAAACGAGGTTTTTTTACATTAATTTAATTGATAATCTTAAAAGTTAAAACCATGGACAATAATCTCATAAAGTAGATGTTGAATTAAAAGTTCACATATGTTACAAACATTATTTATTAATTCGGAATAACAATAACATCTAATCAGAGTGAATTGTTTCAGTATAGTAACCCCTACAGTATAAAAGTAGCCGGTTGTGATGATGAACTCTTGCTGAATGGGTTTGGGGAAATCTTGCTGAATTACATCAACAGATATAACAAGTAATTCTTTGACTGCAAAATGCTCATGCAAATAAACCATTTTTTTATTTGAAAATTCAATTAATTATTATATATATAAATCAAGCGTTATATTTCAGCCATGCAAAATTACAATGACATATTTTGATATACTAATTGATAAATTGAACTGCAATATAAGTTGCTTAATGTTTGGCCGGATGACAACTAATTAAAAGAGAAAAATAAACTTGATTACATAATAATTAATTCGGCTGAACCAACACATAGCAAGAGCCACATTAACGTTGGGGCCGTCATGCTCGCCACTAAATAGTAAACGGTGATAGAGTTTCTTCATAAAAAAACTCCAAACTCTGGATATAGAACTAGAAATAGTTCTGTATACTTGGCTAGTTCTATATACTTGGCTAGCATTTCCAATATCTTGGGAAAATCCTTAATGACATTTGCCATTTTCAAAGTCATCGCTTTACCATCACTTTCGAGAACACGAGCAACCATTGTGAGGGAGATTTCAACAGTATCCAGCTTTGTGTAGTTTTTTTCTTCAAGTTTCTCCACCTCTAAAATCATTTTCATCATCATTGAGAATGTTCCATTGTTTATCATTCTATCACGTCTTTCTGTGCTTGAGACCATGAATACTGACGTAATGACAGGAAGTAGCCTGACATTTGTCTCAAATTTGTTGATTAACCACGGATATTGTTTTAGTTGATTTACCATGTATTCCAAGACATCTTCAAACTTCTCACGATGTTGATTTGGTATTTTATCACATGCTGTTCTTTGGACGACTGCAGTAAAAAAATACAAATATATCCTTTTGTTTCTCTCGTAGGTTTAAAGCGGAACTGAGAACTTTGTCAATAAAATCGTTGTCAAATATTGTGATCATCTCTTCATAGGATATTTTGTTCACTATGAATTGAAAAATGTCTAAAAACACTATTGGATCATCACGACACATTCTTCGCTCAAAACATGTAAGAAAACGTGGAATAATCGAAAACAAAACTGAAGCTTCCACCTCTTGTATGAAAACAACTATTAGAATGATGCTATCATTATGTATTATGTCAACCATTTCGTTATGTCTTCCAGAAATTTTACGATATAACAATGCTTCAGCTAAAAGATCAGCAACACCCTCTCTCACCAGAAATCGTTTAACATTCTGTATGTCGTTATCATTGTAGAACTTATTCATTGATGCAAATAATGCAGTTTGTACAGTTAAACTATTCAGCATATAATTCAAACCGGTGAGGGTATGTTTAGAGGAAGTTACGGTGTACGATGCGATTAACAAAAGTTCTTCCGCCTTATCGTAGTTTAGTCCAAACGGAATAGTGTTTGCTATATACGAGATCATTAACGCTCGCCTCAAACTTTTTTCGTCTTTAAGAAAGCAAGCCATGAGGACCATTTCCAACTCTACTTTTTCATCCAGCAGCCACCTATACAACTCCTCTAGCTCTGAGTATGATAAGCTTTCAAAAACATCTTCCACCATGAGAAGGAGTTGTTCTGTCAAATGCTTGTCATTTCAATAATTTACAGCCATGCTTACCATTTGGCTGAAAGTAGGCTCACATCTGTGTACACTTTGCAAGATTTCTGAACGTTTGGTCCCAAAGTATCCCTCTATATATGTCATGATTTGGTCTCGAGAATAATCTGTCATGGGAAGGTTCCAAGTGTTTTTACTCGGATCCTTTCTTGCTTCCTCGATTTTTAATGCAAATTCATCTGGTGCAAAACGTAGGCTTTTCTTTTCAATTGAGCCGTCCATTATTTGCTTTATAATTGGGTCTTTGCTGGTCGTACCATCAAATTCGGGCAGTGTGTATCCTTTACAGCCTTCAATGTAAAAGTTTCCAAGTTCAGTGTCATATCTAATTACGATATTTTCACTATCATTCCTTGAATTGTTCGAGCTCGTTTGTGGCTTGATTTCTTGGCTAATTTTCTTTAATTTACATGCTTTCTGCTTTCCTTTCGACTTTTTGATTTCCTGTTGTGATGTGAAATCCAGAAGTGGTGCCACTTCTAATTCTTTTGCAAAAGAATTTAAAACTTCTTGTAGTTCATCATTTTTACTCAGTTTCGTCCCGAGATCTGAAATGATCATTTGTTAAACTGCCCATAATACTAATAGAAAGATATATAAAAATACTGCTTTTTCATTTGTTCATTTCTCAATATCTTATTTATCTGCCACAAATACCGGGCATTTGAAAAACCAAGATTCTTACCTTTTGCTTCATCTGGAGTTGAACTCAAACCAAACTTCTCGAACTGATCAATTAATGTCTGAACTCGACGTCTGTTCTTTCGCCTTCTGTTGTTCTCTTTTGTTTTTATACTGTTCACTATTAGATCTACTGTCCCACTTATTTCTTCCATTCAGATAATTGAGTATCTGCATGATCGATAAAATCAGAGTTTCGTTGTGAAAATGTGACAGTTTTATAAATAAATATGATTTAACAGTAACGATGTATTTATAAGATCTAGGTAATAAGTATGAGGTGGCGTTGTCAAACGAAATATTTATGTGATAAAAAACCAAAATATAAGTGTCGATACCAATACCAACCAAGCATCAACGAATTACGCTATGTACTTATGTATTTAGTACGGTTTGAAATAGAAACGCTTGACGAGGCAAAAAAAATTAATGATTGTTAATTATTTGCTCGTCATAGCACTATTAGATAATAACGACTGACGTTTTTACTAATACTACCAATATGTCAGAACTGAGTACAAACAAAACTTTGAAAGTTGATAAATTTTTACTGAATATTTCAGATTCACGTGCGAATATGTTATCATAATTTCATTAACAAGCTGTGAAATCCAATACTGAGATGCCACATAGTCTTTATGGTTTCTAAGGAATTAAGTCCTAGTTGAACAGCAGTTGAAATATTTGAGCAGTCACGTGTCAAGTTGCATTTACTATGACGAGTGCTCTAAATTTATTATTATTACACAGCACACGAGACAAAGAAAACTTGCTCTTTTTATAAAAAGTCATATGACTGGGTGAAATATTGATGGACGGCAAAAGTTGTAAGGTTGGCAATATAATTTTTGCCATTTCTGCCATTTACTGAAAAAATTGAAACAAGTTCAAATATGTAAGAATATAAGTTAATCTTACACGATAATTATAATTTTTTCTTGCCAGTTTTTAGGAGCTTTTCTGAAAGAGGAGATATTAGCCACGGATGAAAACGTATGAGGGATTTCTACCATTTAAGTCTGACCTAGTTGTTACTAACGTTTCAATTGACTGTATACTGTGGAAAATGTAGTATTAGCAGTGCAACAATCTTATCTGCAGTAATCTTATCTACCTTAATAACTGAATGGTCCCTTATTTCAGCACTGCACTGGCTGTCAGACAAGCTTCTAATCAGTCGTACTCCGAGTACATTTCATCTTGGGTAAGTTATCTTTTATATTTCAGCCTTTAAACTAATTTCATCTTACTAATCTTAATTAATTTGTCTACAATTTGATAAATAACTATTTTGTTGTTAGTCCCATGGGATTTCTTACTAGCTTCTGATTTTCAGATTTATTGGACGTACCCTTCAGTAGAAGAAGAAAAAGATCTAAAATTAGATCTGTCTCTGTTACTCTGCCTTTACGAGATAGTACACCTCAACAGAAGTTTTACCACTGTTCTTACTCAGGTTATATTTGATTAACAAATTTATTTGAGTTAGAACTTTAGAAGTAGAAATAGCTTTCACACACAGAAAAACAACTTATTACTAGCAATATACTCAGATTTACCGGGAATCTCGGTGAAATATGAGCTAATTTCCCCAGAGAAAAGGGTTTCCGATTAAAACTTAAGACATTTGCTTGAACAAACTCCGACTCGGTATGTCAGGACAAGGTAAATCTGTAAACCGGCTTTTTAGTTGTGACTCTTGTAAGAAAGGTATCACGAAATGATCAGATGAAGCGCTAAGTAGAGATTCAAACAATTGAACTAAATAGTAATAGTCCTAATATTCAAGTTAATTCTTCGCGGGAACATAATATGATAGAATCGATTCGTTCAAGTCTTGTAATTGTGGATAGCTGGTAGTTGGCATCACAATGCGTACGTATTTGGTCGGCGCCATGACATTTTAATGGATACTTTTCATCGACGTCAAAATGGTCACGCGCGTACGCAAACATAATTTTAGCGATCCGATGGCTAATCGTTTTGATTCACCCTTACTTTTCCGATCCACCGTTTTTTATGTGCCACCTATTTAATTGCACCACTATTTACACTTATTTAATTGCACATAATCTTCTTTCTACCCTTTGCATGGAGAAAACAGTTATCTTCATCTTCAAAAAGGCACCCCATGTGGTTTAAATCCTAAATTTAAAACTGATTATTTTCATTTATTCCAACTTGTATATTTTCAGACAATGTCCTCTTCGACTGGAGACGATGCAGACGGTAATAACGGCAAGCTTTTAAAAACGTTAAAATTTGCTTTTATATCGCCTGAATACCCCATTTACAATTTTTCTTGCAGACAAAAACTTAATGTTCCTAATTGTATTTTCTGATCTCAGGTGAGAAGCAGAAATCGGAAGAATGTCACAGTAACCTCATCTCAACGTTCTTGACATTCTCCTCTTTGATATTCTCGAATGTTCGAGACAATCTTGCAGCAGCCCAGTTGTGTTTTGACATACTGCTCTGTGTCAGCGAGGATAATTACGCAAATGCTTTCATGCATGACGAAAACCAAGTCTTCCCTGTCTTCATATATCGGACGGTAATCATCAGTATTTTATTGTGGTGTGATTACTGCAGTATCCAGGTAGCCTGACCACTAAGGTAAGAACAGACACTAACTTTCGTTAATAAAAACGTACTTTTCCTAGAAATTACGGCACAGAAAAGACAACAAGAAAGAGCTGACTGCAATGTCGCTTGCTTACATACTTCTCGATCTAACATCAGAGTTCTTGATGACAAATCTCACAAAGAATTTCCCCTTCGAATTATACAGGTAAACTCTAAATACCAATCCAACCCCGTAACATTGATGTATAATTCTTCATTGTTTAGATTTAATATGAGTTCACCAATAAAACACGGTGAATTTTCCTCAGCAAATGTTATCGAGTGATTCACCGAATATTATGCTATCAAAAGAAGTGTCGTGTAAGACTGAACTATCCCTGGGAAACACTCTGGAATTCAATTATATCAGCTGTTAAGTGGTCCAACTCGCTGAAACTTGATGATCCTGAAATTATCAACAATTACATACAGGTTGACTAATAGTAAAATGAAGACTAATATTCAATTATATCTGCGTTTAAGTGGTCCAACTCGCTGAAACTTGATGATCCTGAAATTATCAACAATTACATACAGGTTGACTAATAGTAAAATGAAGACTAATAGTTGTAATAGTTCTTCTGGTACTGCAGTAAAGTTTTTTTTAATTGTCCCACATTTAAACGACGATTTGGCGCCCCCTAAGATGGTGCCCCCCCCCCCCCCCCCCCCCCCCCCCCCCGCCGCACAGCGGTGCCCTTCGTTACGCCACTGCTCTGTTGAGCTTAAATCTGTTAATTTAATAAATAGGGTGACCATGAAAATCTAGAATGAAATCTTTTAACATACTGAAAAGAGTTGATAATCAAACGAATCTGATGCCGTCAGGTAGGCCGAATATTCAACATGTTTGTGATGTACGGTGATACCTTCCTACCTAATCCTGGATCTTACGATGAACTATACTACGAGCTCCTCCGACAACATGGTGTATTTGACGCACTCAACGAGACTGGTCTCAAATACCTAGATAAGGGTAATTTTATGATTCTTCAATCTTCATACTTCATCTTCATAAGTCTTATTGAAGGTAATTTTTTTAATAATCATTTTTTTCATTCTATCATTCTATCATTTTTTTCATTCTATCATTTTTACTTTACATTACGCATCAACATTTTTGCTCTCTAATCTTTTCACAAGTGCACTGACTTGCTGATAAGAAACTGCTTGATTTTATCATGTCCGGCCATCTTAACAAGTCGGCCTCTGCTGCTAACAAGACTCCTGCTGCTAAGAAGACTCCTGCTAGGAAGAACAGTATCACTAAACCCGCTGCCTCCGGGTCACCCTCCGACACGGAGGCACCCTCCCTCGGTATGTTGGGCTTTGGTGTGCCATCAATTTACACGTTTTGCGCTAAGACGTGTTTAAACGTTTTACCTACCCTCTCCAAAGAAGATATAGATTTTGAATACAACAGGCTCCGTTTAATTGACTCCGCATTTACTGGCAAAGCCACTAAGCCTGAAACCAAACAAGCCGCCATCAAACAATATCTAACACGTCAAATAGTCGTTGATTTAGATCAATCCATGAATAGTCTAACTGCGGCAGCTAACTTACTTTCATGTACTGTTAATGGGGAGTGCGAGAAGGCGGTGAAACATCTAACAGAACGTGCTCTGACGGCGATCGAAGAAGTCTCTGATGAAACGAAGAAACAGACCACCCTCATCACACAGCAGACTGCAACTCTCATCTCTGAAGCCCCCTCGCAGAACCTCGACACTTCCAGAGAAGTTACAAGTATGCCTCATTCGCCGGTAAGACTTTTAGAGTGCGATCTTTCCGAGTTAACTTTTGATAAAGTTTCAAGTGAGCTAAACTTTGACATGCACCACCCTGGAGGCCGTATCACAACTTATTATGGCTCCGTCCCCTACACGTACGGCAGAACCTCACATCCTGTCTCTGTTGGGCCACTTCCACCCACTCTGGAACGTGTGTACGAGCAACTGCAAAAACTGGACGCTGACATAACCCCAGAGAACTACACTTGCCTTTGCACTTTATACAAGGACGGATCGGTCGGCATACCGATGCATAATGACAGCGAACCTAGCATAATGGAGGATAGTCAAATTTATACAGTGTCGATTGGAGCACCTAGAAACCTTAGGATATCAAGTACAGTAGGCCCCTTTGTCGAGCATAACATTACACTTGAGCACGGTTCACTTTACGTCATGTCACGAGCAGATCAGGACAACTGGCGCCACGGCATTGACCGCGATATCTCGGTAAGGTTTCCACGCATTTCACTGACTTTCCGCAAACTGAAACAACAAGAGTCATGCACTGTGCCTGCACCTCCAGCTCTCCATCGGATACCACCTGTTGCCCCTCCAGCTCAGAACTCCTCCTCTCAGTCTCGTCACTCCAGGGTCCTATTCATACATGACTCTATTCATCGTGAAACACCTGAATGGTTGTTCGATCAGATACCCGGCCACCGCTGTCAGAAGCGTTTGAACTACCAGCTCATAGACTCTTTGGATCATGACCTCAAACATGCCAAAACTGTGATCATCTCATGTGGCATAAACGATCTTTCACGGTATGGAAAATCTGCCAAGAGTCTGGCTGATAACTTTTGTCCCCGCCTTGTCGAAAGCTGTAAGAGCAACAAAAGCACACAGTTTGTTTTTTGTGCTTTGTCTTTAACTAGAATTGGTTGGTTGAACAGAGAAATTGATGATTTTAATCTATGTATGGTGAATCTCGCCAGGGTGATTCCCAATCTGACATTTTACGATGCCCATGCCGTTATCAAGCGGGTTCATTCATACTACGTATGGGACCGCAATGATAAGCATGGCATCCATTTACATCACGATGTCAGAAGGGCTGTTGCATATGAACTTGTCAACTGCGTTGGCAAGTTATGTGGATCAGAACTGCCACGCCACAGGAACTGTGCGTGGCTCTACCACCATGAGCCTAACAGTCCTTTCAGATATCACCGTGGTTGAGCACTAATCCATAAATGAATTAATTATATAAAAATCAACCTTTTCTGTCAAGCCCTTAAATTAAGCATATCATCAAGTATTTTCATATCTTTTTCAGTACATCCTCACTCCTCATCCAAATTCATCATTTGATTGCTACCACGATCGATTTTTGAAGAAATGATCTGATTGGTCGAAAATGCTTATCTTCTTAAGCTTATCAGATGAACTGATGAACATTCTTTAACTATCAAGCATTTTTGTCTCTTATCATCCCACCATACATTTCCTAAAACATTTTCACATTACCAAACAAAACTGTGCACATTTTATTTAATAATTATAGAAGCTTCTCTGGTAAATCAGCATCAAGCACGTTTCCTCAGTCAAAGTTCAGTGCAACAGTATTTTCGAAAACTTCACAAACAACTAAATAGCAAAAATCACCACACAAAACTACACAATTTCACACAACAACATACAAATCACAACGACTTAATATACACTTTAGGTAAAGTCATATTATCATACTGATAAGCCCGAAAATCGAGATAAGGGCACTATATTGTAACATTTGATTTAGCGAATATTTTTAACAAATAAGTAGATAAGACTCAGATCACGATTCTGTAGCATACAGGACCTCCGGTTCTCGTGAAAGAATCTGATTTGCACTAGTATAGATATATTTTACGTTATTTATAAATTTATACATTTTTTATTCTCTAATTCCTCCACAAGCATAAGAGTTAACTTAAAATGGCAGAGAATGGAAATGTTACTGATACTTCTGGTCATAAAATCAAAATAAAATGTGGTAGCTGTAGCGGCTGGTGTTATTCTTCCAAAAACATCCGCAGCTGTTCATGGTGCCAAAACAACGTCCACGTCAAATGTTTTAAGGAAAATTTAGGTTGTACAAGCTGTTGTGAAAGTCTTATTCCTGGATTTTACGCGACTTACTATGAAATTTACGATGACTACAATAAGCTTAATTGCGCTATTTATAATCCATACGCTCAAAATAGTCGATGTAATCTTATTGGAGACGCCATGACCAATGAAGAGCACCAGGATTCAACATGGAGTGACATTTCGGCTTTCCTAACTCACTGTCAGTATAAACAGCAACGTAACGTAAAAAGGTCGACATCCTCTCAACTTAAAACATTTTCCATGAATATCAGATCCCTTTTCAAAAATATTGATCAACTACGAGAAGATATAGAAATATATGATAAGTATGATGTATTGTGTTTTAACGAAACTAACTGCACACTAGAAAAATTGCCTAACGGAATAAACGACATCACATTAAATGGATTCCATGAACCGTATATCCAAGATCCCATCCGCACATCGGGTAAAGGTGGGGGGCTTGCCATATACATACACAAACGTGTAGCTGACTCTGATAAAATTGATGTTTTCAATCCCAACCCTGAACCCTCAAATACTAGCGGCGAATTTCAATTTATCAAGATCCACCAGTGTAAAGGATATAATAGAACAAAGATAATTGGAAATGTTTATCGCTCTCCCGCTAGAAAACCTGAAGCATTTCTTGAAATTTTTAAAAGTACGCTTCACAACCTGGGAAGACACTCTCGCAAACATATGACGTTACATGGAGATTTTAATCTAAATTTACTGAAGCACAGTAGCAACCAGGCATGTCAAAGCATTATAGATATTGCATCCTCTTACGGTTTCATCCAAATTGTATCACGTCCAACTCGCATAACAGACCACAGTGCCACGCTTATTGATCATATCTACACGAACAATCTTGAAGATACAATAAGCTGCAACGTATTAACGACAGATCTGTCGGATCACTTAGCGATAGTTACAACAATTAATCTTGATAATACATCCACCAGCAGTTACCGCTCCGCATCTTATAATCAAAATCCAACACAAACCAACGTACGTAGTTTTAATGAGGCCAACAACCATAAATTTAGAGATTTAATAATGGAAGAAAATTGGTCTGTAATACTAACAAATACCCCTGATGCTAACCAGCAGTTTGATTGTTTGAATTCGGCTTACAACAGGATTTATAACGCTGCCTACCCGACAAAAAGACAGTCCGAGCGCAGACAAAATGAACGTGTTAATCCCAAACCATGGATACTGCCCTGGCTTGAAGAAGCTATAGAACGTAAAAATCAGGCATATCATGATTTTGTAAAGGAACCAGTTGATAGGAACCAGCTAAAATATGACCGTTTGAAAAAGTTTTGCACCAAACACGTTGACAAAGCCAAAAACATACACTACAAAAAATTCTTTGAACAACACAAAGATAATTCTAAGAAGCAGTGGCAGATGATTAACGGACTTCTGAATAGGAAACCAGCCAAACCTACATCGATAAAACTGTCGGACGAAAACGGACAAGTCAGCACTCCGGCAGCAGTAGCAGAAAAATTTAATGATCACTTCTCAAACATCGCTCCAAAAATTAAATCTGAAATTAGTAGTAGGACCACTTTCGATCCTGGTGGGGCCCAGGGGACACTACGTAACCCTTCTCCAAATAGTATCTACATAAAACCAGTCACAACTACCGAAGTTCAAGACGTTATTAACCTATTTAAGAATAAAGCTACTCTTGACACCAAAATCCAACCACTCAAAATTGCCAACAGCTGTCATAATTTTACCACTGTATTGGCCCACGTTGTTAACAGCTCGTTCGAACAAGGGGTCTTTCCCCAAGCCTTGAAAACGGCAAAAGTAGTTCCTGTACATAAAGGTGGATCTAAAACTGACATCAAAAATTACAGACCGATATCTCTACTTGCCACTTTCTCAAAAGTCTACGAAAAGCTTATGCACAATCGAGTCATAAATTTCTTGGATACCTACAATATACTTTGTGAAAATCAATACGGCTTCCGCCCAGGTAGGTCTTGTGAACATGCACTTCTTAATGCTAAAGACAGAATCCTCAATTCAATGTCTAAAAAGCAAGTTACTTTGCTCCTTTTGATTGACTTTAGCAAAGCCTTTGACCTTGTGGATCACTCCATACTCCTGAATAAGCTCGAGCACTATGGCATAAGAGGTCTAGCTTTAAACTGGTTTAAATCATATCTTATGAACAGAAACCAGTTTGTATCAATTGGATCCTCTGAATCCTCAGCCAATCCAATTATTTACGGTGTACCCCAAGGTTCAATTTTGGGACCTCTCCTTTTTATAATCTACATAAACGATCTTCCTCAAATATCAGAAATAGCTAATTTCATCATGTACGCAGATGATGCAAATATTTTCCTAACAGGAGAAAATATAAACGAGGTTTATGATAAGCTCAAAATTCTTAGCGATGTCTTAGTTAAATGGGTAGATAACAACGGATTAGCTCTAAATCTTAAAAAAACGAATTATATGATCTTTTCTCGACAAAGAAACCTCATTTATCGCGATGTAGTAATTTCTGGTGTCACAATCGAAAGAAAAACAGAAGCCCGTTTCTTAGGTGTTATAATAGATAACAAACTGAACTGGTCGCAGCATATTTCTGCCATGAAAATGAAAATGGCCAGATACATTGGAGTCATGTACAAACTTAAAAAATATTTGCCTCTGGAAGCACGTTTACAAATATATCACAGCTTTGTGCAGTCTCACCTTAATTACTGCTCCCTCGTCTGGGGTTTTGCTGCCAAATCCCATATAGAAACACTATTTGTTAAACAGAAAATGGGTCTTAGAGCAATACTACCAGGTTTTGTTAATTACTGGTACAAAGATGGTACACCACCAGCAAGTACCAAGTCTGGTTTCTATGTACACAAAATATTGACAGTTCATAGTATCATCGTAAAGAACGCATTAGTTTTTATACATAAGCTAAAAAACTTCCCAAGTCTAGTGCCTCCCTCTATAAAGAAAACAATACCTAACAGTGCACCAATATTTAACGTCGCCGATCCGGATTCGAGTCTTACAACTTTATGGTCAGATGAATACGGTAAACACCCTTACAATAATTCAGTATTCTACAAAGGTCCACTATTAGCAATAAACAGATATAGTGTCGCAGCAACTTCCTTGCCAAGTCTATTCAACCTTAACATCTACAAAAGGTGCATAAAAAACATGCTCATTGATCAACAAAACGAGGGCATTGCAGACGAATGGCCTAACTTTATGTTATACAATATAACGGGACTAAGGAAATCAGAGCGCAACATCAACCGTAATGCTAATAATAACTCTGTCCCATAAGCACGCCATCACAGAATCAATTTCACTGCATACCATCTCAGTTACACTGCCATCAATTCGCCAGCAAAAACGGCATGACGCTATGCGACTGATAACAGTCGTTAAATTTTAAAAATTTTGGAATAGATAGCTAGCAGTAGCTATGCGCCTGTTTCCACTCTAACAACTCTAAAAGCATATTAATATGATAATTTCAACTAAAGGCAACTTTATATGTGCTCAGCTATGTTTTGTTCGACAAGCTCTATTATATACATTTTAATCGTTTTAATGAGATCTAATCTTGTATGAGTTTTGAGTTTGAATTGATAACACTTATTATATATATTATTTTTTGAGTAAACATTGGCTGGTACTTCGGGCCGGTCCCCAACAAAAAAAAAATTGCTCGTGCGCGGCACCCGACTACCATGAGCCTTAGTCTTTTGAGATCTTGCCAAATTACTTCTTACTGAAAATTTTTTGATTATATCAAAATAAGTATTATCCTGAATGTTTTTGCAATGTCAAATTATCTAATTTTTGGTGGCCACAATCCTTCGACATATTATGGCAAACCTTTTTATTACGATGATATCCAGGCAATACCCACAAAGAAGCCTGCAAGGAATTACTGTCTAATCTACACAACGTCCGTGCTATCGTAAACCACTTCTCTCCTAAAATAGAAGCTTGGTCAACAGCCAATAAGATATCTACTCCTACTCCTGAAGAGGTATTCAAAATGTGACTTTTTCCATTTTATTGATACTTGCTGCCGAGAACAATCAGATGGAGTACTTGCTTGGTAGTGGTTATGATTCTTAGATCATATTCTGTCTCTCCTAGCCGTTCATTATATTCCTTATAACCCTTATATTCTACAGGTGATGGATATTGTAAGATCTAACTACGATACACTAACTCTAAAGTTGCAAGACGGACTTGATCATTTTGAGCGTTACAGCGAGGTCCCTAAAGAGCAACAATTCTTCACTAATCTGGTACGGATACTAGACTAAGACTTTAAAATAGTTTAATTAGGTATTTTAGTTATTGTGAGCTACATGAACTTTTATATTACCTTTACAATCAGATCGATTAAACTGTATGTCTTCTCAGATCAGAAAAATCACCAAGGATAAGCGAGAATCGACGACAGTACAGATTGAAACGACAGCGTACCATAAGTTTACCACCGTCAGTAACATCGGACAATGTTGAGTATTTGATATTGTGTTTTGAATTTGAAGCTTTTTTTTTCTTACCACTCAAAGAAGCAAAATAGGGATGATCAACTTGTTTTTGGATAACTTATTATGAATACTGAAAAGCAATGGCTTTTGTCCGGGGAGCTTTCCAAAGAATTGATATAAACAAAAATTCAGTCCAGCAAGGCGCTTTATTTTGTTGAATGAGGGAATTTTGACGATGTTTTGTACTATTTAAATCGTTGCTTTTATGATATATTACTAAGCATGACTTTTTCCAAAAGTGTTAACTGATAGGTAACCGCAAGTTTATATAGCATGATACTAAAGACCTTTGTTATATAGTAGGACAAGACCGGTTATAGTTTATTTTATGTATAATTTAGAGTGAATGAGTTTTGTTTGAATGTTTGAGATGTACACAAATTTCCAATTTAATAATTCTTCAATTGTGTCAATACCGTCAAGCAACAAAATTTGAAAATCATTTGAAAGTTACATCAACCTCAAATTTGTCCATTGAAAACTCCAATCTTCAGTAATAATTCCATCATTTAAGAAACTGATTTTTTATTATTTAAAGGAAACTAGAAATTCCATTTGTCTAGGTGATGGTTGACGCGTGTTTGCAGTACAAGAAAACTTGCTCGCTTCTCCATGAGTCCTTAAACAAGCTTCAGGGACTGGATGAGCCATCACAGGAGGTATACAAGTGAAATATAACGTTTAATTAATTACCTGTATACTCAATGAGTGCTTTGTGTTCAAGATTTGGATCCTGATGTTAGATCCTTTCCCGAGTTCCAACTGTCTTCCAAGTTTGGTTACCTTTTCATGTTTATTGTCCAGCAATATACTAAGATAGCAATCGCCAGGTTGTGGAGAATTGTATGCAATATTTTGCACAGCTGAAGAAGTTTAACTGTAAAGCTCAACAGCAGTGCAGGAGAGTTCGTGATAACACACGTCAGGTTAGTTCGTGATAACACACGTCAGGTTAGTTCGTGATAACACACGTCAGGTTAGTTCGTGATAACACACGTCAGGTTAGTTCGTGATAACACACGTCAGGTTAGTTTTACACATACCATTATATATTTTCATAATTATTATTTGTTGTAGGAGGCCCAACAAGAAGTCGTGCTTATGTTTACACTCTACATGTGCTTGACAGTTGACACTTGTAATACAGATGTCGCTTTGAAATTTGTAAATTCTTTGATTGAAGTTTTTGCCATATTTGCAGTTGAAAAAGAAGCTGGATAGTACAGACTTGATCCTGAAGAATTTGCAGTTTGAAGAAATTTACCTACAACGAGAAATAACGAAATGTCTGCAGTACAAGTAAGCGATCGTTTATCAAACATTTTTCAAAATTAAGATACCAAGCGCCATGCAGTTCTACAAACAACACGAATCATCTCTAAGAAATGAACATCCCCTCCGGAAAATCCGTGAGCGAAAAATCTAAACCAACTGAACTTATAATGAGATAATTAAGCTAAACTTTATCGAAATATAAATGAAGGAAATCAGTCAACCACTAATGATCCCCCATCCAGGTCGGTGGATGAGGAGTTGAGTCTGATCCAGGAGAGCGAGTATCTGATCAGTTTAGGGGACGAGAAACCACCACCTGACCAGCACGAGCATATGTTACAACGCCTCAAGTGGGAACTCGAACAGCGCAAAGCGTGAGCAAATCTTTTACTTTGAAAAAAATGTTGGTTTCTTTCAAAAAATCTTATTTTTGCCGATTTATTATTTGTTGTTTAAATTCCTAAACAGACGTTAGCCGTTTTTCTTGATAACCAAAACCCTGTCGTCAGCCTACCCTCAGATTTACAAGTAAAGTAGTTATACCGGGAGTTGCCGCCCCGGTTGCAAGTCGGGGATAATTATTAAGTAATGACTTGTGACTGTGAGCCGCCTGTTTAACACAAAATAACATTAAATAGAGCTTCAGTACAACAATTTAACAAAACAGGCACTTTTAAACATGTCTAAAAATCGAATAATGCCTGGAATGTCGCTAAGATGTTACTCGAATCAATGTAACATCACACGTGACAGGAAAGTGACGTGACTTGTTAAAACGTCAGTATCGTGATTAATCATTAATGATCAAACAACAACTCGTATCAGCTGATAAGGTCACGTCGCTATATAACAGATGACATGGCTGTACTACATAATATGCAGTAATACTGATAATTGTTTCTAGTGGCTTCCCTTCCTGCATATTAGATATGATCTGTCGGACCGTGGGACCAAGCTATTGTGATCTTGTATTTAATGACCAGGCTCGAGTGGGTTGATCGTCATTCTATGTTTTGTTGGGTCGCATTGGTATTTCTGCTGTTATAGTATTATGTGTCGAATTTTTTCATATTCCTGCATTTAAAAGCCTTCTTTTCCATTTCTTTGCTTAAATTCTATTAGGTATTGGTTAAGATATTTTGTAGAATCTTTTATAGGATTTATAACTTTTGATCACGAAGTTTGGTTGTTTCTATTAATCCGATAAATACTCTTTAAATAAGTATGTAATGTAAAAATCATATTATTCAGAAGTACATGATTTTCCTTATTGTCTTGGCAATGTTTGACTCGGCCTTCTCTACCGTTCTAGACCGATCTCTAGCCGAATGGAAACCCCTAAAAGACAAGGAAGAACGAGTTATGTTTCCTCTACGAGGCTGTGTTTTGGAGATCAAAACACTTGATCGCCCTGATGCCTACGATTCCAACCCATCGTATGGCGAACTGTTCAGGACTGACCAAGAAAGTGCGATGATGATGTTGCTTTACGCTGGAAGCTGGAACAATAAAGTCGGTCGCTATGACAGAGAATTCGACATAAACCTTGGTGAGAAAGCCACAAAGCTTTGGGATCTTTTGCCAAGAGAAGTAAACCAAGAGCCTACACTGAGCTCCTTTAAACTTGCTCTTGGGGACTTTCTAAAACAATTCCCCGACAAACCTCTGACAAAAGGATATGTCACTTCAAACAATAATCCCCTTCTCCATTGGGCCCTGATAAGAGGGACTGAAGCTGACTCAGGAGACGACGGAGAAAGTGAATGATACTGGTGTCTGAGTAACATTCCTGACGAACTTACTCTTCAGTTTGTACGAGCAGGTATGCTGAAGCTCTGAGACTTACTGTCTATGGTTGGAACTATGAGAACACCTTCGTATACAGATGTAGTAAGATGAAACCTGGAGAGAGAATCGAGCAGGAATGTGCAGACACATGTCTTCATCAGAATTTTCATCAGAATAGAACTATATATATCATTTAGATTATTTCCAGATTAGATGCACTTTTTATTCAACTTATCTATTCGATGATTTTTTAATAAATATTCTTATACAGTATATATACACGCACTTGAATCGTTATAAATTTAATTTATTAAGGTAACAATTTTCAGAATTCGACAGCTACGATATTGTCATGGATTTATTATTTAACTGTTTATTGTATTGAATTGCATTACATTTTGCAAAGTATTGAATTAAAAATATTAATATTTATTTATATTGTGTAATTTATATTTACACTGCGATGATGAATTTTTATGAGTAAAAATAATATATCAATTATTACTAAAGCTTAAAAATGTGATCGTGTAATACGGCAAAAATGTAATCGTGTAATTCTCTTCGTACTACAGGACAGAAAAGCTTAAAAATATTAGATAAAATTTAAAAGTTTAGTCACTATCAAGTATCCATAGAAATTGGACAGACTCATGAAAGGCCAGCTTAAGCAACTAACTACTTTATCAATAACGGCCCTAAGTTGGCCGGTTTCGTCGTGGAATGAAAAAGTAAGGGCCAGAAAACGGAAGTTCAGAAGTACTGATATGGCTGGAAAACCTTGAGCCAGCTTGAATTTTATATATTCTCTGCCTTTAATTCTGGAGTTCAACTGTTTGCGGAAATTCAAAATCTGAAAAATATGTGTTTCTTCTGGTGACTATGGTACATGATTATATTTATACTTTGAGCGAATCACCGATGCGTGCTGATTTCCAATCACCTTATAACGCGCAAAAATAGTGCACAGCCAGTTCGGGTTTATAAAGACATATTGCAAAATATTAAAACCACATGGTACAGGCTAATACATTTGCTTTCTCCACTTCCAGCTCATATTATTTTATTATCTAGATTCAATAAATACTACAGTTCAGTGCATTGGGAGGCCATTCACACAGCAAGTACGAACATCGAAAATGATCCTTATCCGTTTTATCTATAGTATTAGTATACCACTACCGCGAAAAGCTGGCCTGTAAATTTCGAGGCCTCGCTTTATACAGTGTATAGTAAGATGGGTAGCATGTCTCAAAAAGTCGAAATGGCTAACACTAGTTTTCCGACAGGATGCGTGTAGACCAGGAGAGATGGGAGAAATCTAAGGTGAGCTTGGAGGAAGAGATCGCAGGACTGAAGGGTTACCTGGCTTCTCTACCTCCACAACTCGAGGAGATGTTGGCTACAACAGCTCAGGTATTGTTACTAATTAAATTTTGTTTGCCAATTTACGACATTTTCTTTATGATATTAAGCCGCGCTGCTCATCAAGAAGACAGCAAGTGCGACTCAATATTCAATAGGCGTCTGATACTATGTCCTGAAGATTCGCGTACAATTACAAGCGCTCAGTGTTTTGAGGATACGATGTCCTGTGAACACTATTAATATTATCATTAACTCTACAATTTTGTATATTATCACAATCACATCAGATCACCAATGATTTACATCTGAACGTGTGTGTTTGCAGGTGCAGGATTATCTAGGAATGAAGCTGGTTCATAAGAAGACACAAGCGGAGATGGCAGCTTGGCTACCCCCTCAACTCTACAACATATACAGTCAGGTGCATATGAATAATTATAAGTGTGGTGTTTGTTGACCTCTTAGAATCCTGAAAGATAAAAAAGCTGAGCAGACCCAATTATCTTGGTTATGACTTCCTGGCCTGATAATTTCCATGATGTTTATGATGACTGATAAATACGAACTTGAATGAAATACTGATTAAGTTATAGTTCTTTATTTAGGTGACAGGGTATACGGAGTATTTGAAGCTTGGAACTACAGTCACCATCAACGGTGATCTAGAGATTGCTAAAAACCTCTCCACTGATGATGCTAGGTGAGAAATTTTCGTGAGTTTAATTAGGAGTATGTGCGTGGTCAGAGCTGTACAGTATACACCCATCTGAACGATTAAGACCTTTGCCCGAATCTGTATAGAAGTTTTAAGAGTTAAGAAGAACTGTAGTCAGTAGTACCTTATCGGTACTATTTTTGTCACTATTTTGACCAGACTTTTGTTGCCATACATGATGTTTGGTTCAGAAAATAACAATTGCATTACAGGAATTAGTAAGTTTTATTGTATATCAATTATCAAGAGGATAAACCAACAAATTCAAATATATTTTCAACAAGAATTATAAATCAGAAATTTGGCAATGATAATTTGAATTGGAGCTTTGTGAGTTATCAACCAAACCAAATTGACTAGATGATACATTCGGAACCCGTGATCTCAGCGATTCATTTTCTTCTTTCAGAGCTTCAATCTCCTTTACAAGCCTTTTTACTTTCTCTTCTTCGGTTGAACGAATTTGGAAAATGGTTCCGTTCACTATTCTTACTATACGCCAAAATCTTGCGACAATAATAAATTCGGCGGCTGTTGTATGTTTTGAAGGATGAGCTTCGTTCAAGGATACGATATCCAATATAAATGACGTTGCTATAACCGCGGCATCGAACAGTTCATAGCATGTCAAGAATCTTCTACGGTAGACTGAGATTTTCGTCGCTATTTCTACAACAAATATTGAGATTACAACAAGGTTCAAAATTTTAACTTTCTTGATGAATTTGGATATATTTTCATCATCCTTTTTCTCTACCACTTCCAGCGAACATGTGAGTTCGACTGTAACTATTGCCATGTCAATCACCACCAGAGCAATGATCAATAATTGAAATATATTGCTTTCAAATACATTTTCAAGGGTCTGGCAAAATGTCTTATCAGTCCTACCAACATCTGATTCTGATGGATTATCCTTCGCCTGGCTGCTCAAAGAATCCTGATCTTCGGTTTTTGTAAGGCTGTCACACTGCTTCTGGTCCATTGTGTGACCAGTGATGCAAAATGCTACAACATGTCATCTGAGCATCCTAGAATTATAAATTGTTTATTTATGATTTAATGTCCACAACTGATTATGAACCGTTTTTGTTACATTAAGAATATTACAAATATTAAAGCTTTGTTTTTGCAAAGGGTGTCAGAAAATAAGGTCAGGATTTAGGTCAGTCTTAATGAAACTTCTAGTTCCCTGTGTATATGTATGTGCGACAAAAACAAGATACAAATTCTAGAATCCGTTGTCACGGTATAGATCGAAATCAGATGTAATTGTAACGTCATGCAAAAAAAGTAAAAAGGCACAATTTTAATTATAACATTCATCGTTGGCGAAATTGCTCCTTCATAAATTTTTAATTTTACCGAAATTTTGACCTCCCAGTGACGTGGATGAGGTAGTCGAAATTGAAACCAAACACTCGAAACGAAGGAGCGCTGTCAATGATCCCGGCAAGAAGAAAGTGTTTAAAGCTCATCCTCTTACTGTTGAGGTAACTTGATTAAAGATATTTATCCTAATTCATTGGAGATGGAGCGAGCTGGTTCCAATAATAAAATCATTAACTACCTTGATTTAAATATTAATATTTCCACAGAAGGACTAGAAATATCAGTGTATAACTATAACAAAACTGATGATTTTAATTTTCATGTTGTATCCCTTACATTTCCTCACAGTAACATCCCAACCGAGGTTGGCTACAACGTTTTTTCAAGTCAAGTTCTTAGATATGGTAATGTTTGCACTAGATTGGATATCTTTACCTCCCATCTTCACAAAATATTCAAAATTCTAATTGATAGAGGATATAGCCGTGATAGACTGATTAAAGGCATTAAACGTTGTCTGAGGAAATATGATAACGTTTTCAGGAAGTTCGGTATTCTAGATGACCGTAACATTATTAAAGAACTCCCCTGATATCTTTTGATTTATTGAAACACGGGTACTAACTCTGCTAAACTGAACAAATTCTGAAACTTAGGTGAATAAGTGTACAACGTGCTAAACCGAAGTTCAGACTGACCAGTGAAAATGGGCGAGCGTACCAAGTGTCATTTTAATTAGAAGTTTTAGTCAGTGATTTATTATTGAAGCTTGTAATTACAATATCTAATGCTCCTATAAATACTTTAATTAATTGTTTGTCCCGTTATTCTTTTTCCTTCCTCTTTTCCTTGTCATCCCCTTTAGTTTTAAGATTCTTGCTATAAATGGCTACAGCTAACACTATTAATGCTAAGTACCAAACAACAAGTGGGAGGTGGATCGTTGGTACCATTAAATCGATTTAACACCGCAATTCCAGTCGCAAGCCTGGGACCACTACTAGCATAGTCACAACATCTACAAAACTGCCATATAGCCTGACTGACAATTTTCTCGACTGACTGACAATGTTTCTTCTTTTTCCCCATTTAGAATACAAAGATTAGTACATTTTAGCTTATGATTAATATTATATTTTTACCTATAGTTTACTTAGATTCTTAACTTTGTGATGAATTGTTGGTCTGATATACCCTATTTAAATATTGTTATTGCCCCAGCCTTTATTTCATGGTCACTAATTAACTAACGTTTCGCAAATCCTTTTACCGGTGTAACCGTAAGAAAATCCACCAAATTACTACCTCTCGTAACAACATTTAATTGAAAAGGTAATTACACGCTAAACATGTTTATCAAATCCATTTATTTTCAATGTTTACTTTATGTTTACCAGATGCCTTACTATTTGAGAGTTTCCTGTTTAACATGATGTTGGATGTACCTGCAGCTGCGGTAATCCATTTTAAGACTTGCGCGATTGTGGCCACGTCATTTCACAATGGACCTATCATGTTTAAAAGCGTGTTCACATGCACTTTCGATGTTGTTGTACTCGAAGTCTTACACGCACATCTTCATGTTGCGCTAGTTCTTAGGAATCGTTTTTTACAAGCTACCCTTGTAATAAAAATAAGAACGTTATATATTCGCTCACATCAATTAAATTATCGCTAGATCACATTTACTGTTCCAATTTTAACGCTACACTCGCCCGTGATCAAATTACATGTTCCCTTTCAATTCACGTTTTCAGCTTAATTCTGTTGTATTAAAACGATCTATTGGAATTCTATGTTGTTTTTACACGAAGCTCTCTAGGCAGTAGGCTAATAATGAAAAATCGTTTGCAATAAAGTCAATTATGTGTGTCCGAACTCCGAACATGGTAATGTAGATAAGGAGTTAAAAAGTATAGTAGCGCACCAAAACGAAACACTTATGTACTATCCCCCATCTACGGCCGATAAAAACTTGCCAACGCCGCTGTACAAAATATGGCATGAGCGGTAAGCATACATACATATCAGGAATACATATCAGGAACTATGTGAAGAAACATATAGGTAGCTTATACTCTTCTCAAAAGCTCAAATCCTTTCTCTACAAAAAACCGAATTATAATCATAATTAGACAAAAGTGAATTTTTCGAATCTCGTGACAAGAGTCCGAATAAAATATTATATGCACTTCTGTTAATTTGTACGCTCTAGCCTCTATAAGTCTATAGGCCCTGGAATTTTGATTGTCGCCAATTTAGTCTATCATAATCAATTGTCTTTATATACGCGAGCTGTACTGGCACGGAACGTGATCAGTTTAATTTTATGAATTAAAACTTACAACTGAACTTTGATGTCTGAACACTTTATCAATTCTGGAGCATTTCTAGTTAAAATTGATATGACACTGATTATACCGGTGAGAACCGGTCTTCTTTTGTAGGGCTTCGGTCTTGTAACGGGTATATTGTTACAGTTACCATAGATATTAGCTAGAGTACACGCATTACACTTGTCAAGGTGATTAATGGAGCATTACAGCTGTGTCTCTGTATTTCTCTTGCCATAGCCCTGATTTTGTTCACCGTGAAATTCTTCCCTTAAATACCCTAATCTGTGGAGTGTGGACTAATTGCCAACTTCAAAATCATTGCCATTGTTAGTGTAAATGTAATCATCCATAAACCCAGATTTGATTATACATTTATTTGTTATAGCGAGATGTGGTTCTGGTATAGAAAACTAACTAACTAATTAAATCATGCTGCAAGCTTCCTTCCTTCCCTAGCTGTTGTCGATCCTGATCAAATTAGATACACCACAATGTGCGGTATCAAACATTTAACACTTTGTGTTCTGGCCTTCTTCATGTCAATAGACTCGGTAGTTCACCAGTTAAGTTCACATCTGTCTTTGCAGTATTTAGTATCATAATGGGAGTAATTGAAGCTAAGATAAACATGTCTTAAAGCTGATGCATGATATTCCTGGGAAAAAAACTCGACTTTTTTTGAGGTTTTTATTTGAAGGGCATGAAGTTGTGGTTACAACTGAGATTTAGATAGTGCACAGAGACGATTCTGAGCTTTAGCGGCGCAGGGAAGGGGGGCGAAATTTATTATTGAGAGTTGCACTTGATTAAACATCGGTGTTTAATGATTTAGAGGGAAGAGCTCAGGATCTGCCCGGGGTTTGGTGTGGGAGCGTGTCGTGTTGGGTGGAGGGTTTGTTGTGTATTTTAGTTTGGGAAACCATCGTGTCTTCGCAATAGTAGAATAATGTAATTGTAGGAATCTTCTTCTTTGCGAAGGAAATTGCTGTGTGGGTTGCGATTTGCATTCCTGTCAGATCTGCTAGCCTCACTTTTCGCACGCCTGCAGTTAAGATCAAACCATTTTTTCTTGTTAGTACGTGTTCCACGTTTGGTTGTAGTAACCGAATTCGCAAGGTTGTGGTATGTTGCGACCAAATCTCTATTGAGCCGTGTTGCTTCGTCTGCTGTGTTCGCTGTTTGGTTAAGGAGGTGTTCTATTTTGTCCTTAAATGTCTGATCATTCTGTGCCGAGCGAAACTGGGTTGCTGAGTCGGCAGAGAGATTCTCTGATCTGTTCCATTTGAAGGATTTGGGTGCATCCTGGATGTCTTTAGTGTCATTACTGGTAGAGATCCTCTTTAGATGATTGTTAGAGATAGTCATAAAGAGTGGCCTGTGATCGGAGTACTGGGATATGCTCTCGATTTTGAGTTGGCGAATTTTATCGTGGAGACTCGTGGATACGCAGATATAGTCAACAGTACTAACACCGTGGCGTTGAATACAAGTGGGTGCACCAAAAATGTCACCCAGGGTCCCACCATTGAGAATGACTAGACCAGTTGTTTGCAGGAGTTCGATGAAGGGTCGCCCGTTTGTGTTCAGCTTAAGGTCCGAGTTGTTGCGTTTCGTCAGCAGTAATGGGCGTTAAGTTCGTAGTCTTTCAGGTGTCTATTGTCAGACATCATGTCATCCATTGTGCCAGTTTTAGCGTTAAAGTCACCGAGAAGAATGGCATCCTCGCTGAGCGGTATATCTGCCAGGAATTCTTGGAGGTGTTCTAGAGTTGAGTTGCTGACTTCAGTTTCTATATCTCTTCTCCGCTTCTTGAAAGAACCATTGGTTGGAGAGTCGTATACATTAACTAAATAGGTGTTCTTATCAAGATCAAAATAGTTGGCTTTCAGCTTAACTACAACGATGTCCTCCGAGGCGTTCATCTGGACATGAGTTACACCGGCTTGTAGGCTTTTATGGACTCCAATACAGACACCACCAGAATTTGACCCCTTTCGGTTTGAGTTAAAGCAGCAGTAGTTACTAAAGTTAATCTCCCCTTTAGTTTCTTGCAGTGCAAAGATATCGTGGCTTTTGAAGAGATCTTGGATTTCGGGTATGTCGACTTTAGGTCCTTCAGTTTTGTCCCGAGAGTGGTTGATGTTCCAACACAGGAACCTAAGGGAGTGCCGGGACCTCTTTGATGTAGATTTAGTCATCGCTATACCTGTTAGTGCTGCGTCTTGCTTTGTTGCCCTCGTGGTAACTTAATCGGGGGAGGCGTAATGTCTTCCTCAGACCTTCCCTGAGGCGAAGCCAGAGCATGTTTTGGCCTCTCTGACTGAGTTTGAAGCCTGTGCTGGGCGAATAAGTGCTTTGGTCGCCAATCTTCTCATTTGTGAAGGTGAAGATCCTATCTTTGACTTCCGGCTTGTGGTTGTGGAGCCAAGTTATATGGTTTCTGATCTCCTCGTTGATGATACGTAACCTGTCATTGATATAAGAGTCATTAGAGGAGGGTATCAGCGCTGAGAAGCATATCTGTGCTGCTGTGGTGTTAAGCAGATGTAAGTAAAGTTCCTTCACGTGGCCTACAAGACCCGTTTTCTTGTAGAGAAAGTCATTAATCCCCGTGTGGATATATATGCACTCTGGTTTGAGTCGCTTTAAGGTTTTGTTAAGTTGTTTTGAGTTCTTTCCCAAGTCAGAGTAGCTAGTTGCTTTAAAGCAGTGAACATTGAACTGACTGTTAAAGCGTCTTGGATCGAACTCATCAAAGTTCTCATCGTGGATCAGGAGTACCGTGTGTCGCCTGTAGCTTTTCCTGTCATTGATGGAGGAGCTTG